GTGGGAAACCCAGGTCTTCAGGCACGAGGTGGGTGTGCATTTCTAACTTCTCAGGACTATAAAGACAGTGAGTCACTATGCAAGATTGTCTGGGAAAACTTCTGGAGCACAAAGCAAAGCGAGGGCCTCGCTCCAGGGGCTGGGCAGTGCAGTGGGAGCACCCACCAGCTGCATCTCCCAGGAAGGAGGCAAGGAGCAGCAGGAGGAGGACAGATCTCCAGCTGGGCTTGGGGAGGCCAAAGTGCAAAGCCCATCTTGGGCTGCAAAGTCTCTGAGAGTAACCATGGAAAAAAACACCTATGTGCTCTAACCAGAAAGACCTGTCCAAAAGCTGGACCACAGAAACTAAGCATGGTGCTAAAGGGTGGGAAGGACAGAGAGCAGCAGGAAAGAAGCCCTGCCCCTGGCTGCAGGCTGCCCACTCCTCTTGGGTGCTGTGCCAGCCCTCGGGCCTGTCTGCTCAAAGGGGCCTTGTGCTGGTGTGGCACCTTTTGTCTGGTGCAGATCAGAGCTAAAAGGTGCCTATGGGACTAGGGAAGAGCTCCAGCTGCCTTTCTGTCCCCCATCAGCATGCTTTTCAGCTGTACTAATCATAGAATCATAGAATGACTTGGGTTGGAGGGGTCCCCAAGTATCATAAAGTTCCAACCTCTCTGCCACTGGCAGGGTTGCTAACTGCTAGATCAAGTACTTGATCAGATTGCCCAGGGCCCCATCCAACCTGGCCTCAAACATGTCCAGGGATGAGGCATCCACAGCCTCTCTGGGCAACCTGTTCCAGCACCCTAGTATTCTCTCAGTAAAAAGCTTCCCGCTGACATCTAGCCTAAATCTCTCTTCCTTAGTTTAAAACCATTCCCCTTTGTCCTATCACTATCTACCCCTGTAAAAAGTTGATTTCCCTCATGTTTATTAACATCCTTTAAATACTGGAAGGCCACAATGAGGTCCCACAGAATCATGGAATATCAGGGATTGGAAGGGACCTCAACAGATCACCCAGTCCAATTCCCCTCTGGAACAGGAACACCTACATCAGGTCACACAGAAACACGTCCAGGCAGGTTTTGAATGTCTCCAGAGAAAGAAACCCCACAACCTCTTCCTGTAGCCTTCTCTTTTCCAGGCTGATCAAGCCCAGTTCCTTCAGCCTATCTTCACAGGTGAGATGTTCCAGCCCTTGAATTATCTTTGTGGCCCTGCTCTGGACCCTCTCCAAAAGTTTCACATATTTCCTGTGTGGGGGGATGTAACACTTGGATGCAGTACTCCAGCTGGGGCCTCGCGAGGGGCAGAGTAGAGAGGGATAATCACCTCCCTCACCCTGCTGGCCATCCCTCTTCTGATGGAGACCAGGATACCATTAGCCTTCTGGCCATGATACAGCCAGGATATTCATCAAACTATGAAGCATAGGCATCCCCACTCCATTGTGATGCCCCCAGATGCAGACACCCCTCACTGAGCCCTACACATATCCTGTGGCATCAATTCCCATGACCCAGCAGCCCTATTGGAGCAATGACATCAAGCAGCTCCATCCCACATCCCAAGGGACGGGTAAGTCTCAAGTGTTGTAGGCAGCTGTGGGAGCTTGTGAGTTTGCAAATCCTTTTCTCTATGTGGGAACAACTACCTCTGCTGAAGGTGTTTCAGGCACAGAACGAATCAGTTCTGTCAGGTAAGCAAATGTTGCATGTCCAGTTATGCTGGCTGTGAGTAGTTTTTTAAACAATGGGAAATTATAGCCAGCATGACCTTTGGTAATCAAAAGCTGGAGGCAAAGCAGAAATTTCTAGCAGTGTCTTTTACAGCAAATCTAGAACAAGCCACAGCTGCACCCGATCACTAGTGCCAAGTCTTCTGAAACAAATAAAATATTCTGCATTAGTTCCAAGTACAGAATGAAGGGTTACTGATGATTCTTCCACTGATTTCAATGCTTAGAAATTCAGATGAACCTCAGGTGTGTCAGTGGCATTACTAGTTGGAATTGCCACTGAAACCACGAGCCACAAGTTTGCTTCTTCCATTTATGGCACAATAGATTGTTTTCTTTTTTGCATAATTGAAGACTATTTGGGAGTTGGGCTCTTTTTTTCGTAAGCCCTGCTATCAGTACAAGCAGGGGGATCCAAGTATGGAGCACAGCCCTGCTGAAAAGGAACCAGGAGTACTGGTGGATGGTCATGAGCCAGCAATGTGCTCTCACAGCCCAGAAAGCCAACCATAGCCTGGGCTGTATCAAAAGAAGCATGGCCAGCAGGTTGAGGGAGGTGATTCTGCCCACTGCTCTGCATTGGTGAGACCTCATCTGGAGTACTGCATCCAGATATGGAGCTCTCAGTACAGGAGAGGTGTGGACCTGTAGGAGAACATCAAGAGGAGGGCCACAAAAATGATCCAAGGAATGGAACTTCTCCTCTCCTCTACATCTCTTCTGGAGCTCTTCAGCCTCCAAAGAGAAGGCTCTGGGGAGACCTGATGGTATTTCTTTTAATGTGAGAATGCTGAACTCCTCTGCTGCCAGACTTCCACTCTGGGAGTTTGGCAGCAGGAAATGCCCTGAGAGGATACCCAGTGGAACAGAGACATTAACTCAGAAAATAAAAGGTACCTAATCATGAACATTTGACAAAAAGGAAGCGTATCAAAAATCAAGTTGTTCTTAGAAACAGATAAATTGTGACCTGAAATGCTCCATTTGCAGGGTTAGATATTTATCAGAGATCTTTACAATTGTTTCACTGACTGTTGAAATTCTTCTTTCCAGACTTACAAGCTAAAGTAAAACCTTCTAATGGTGCTGAGGTTCACAATAACTTCTATTAGGGACTTCGCTGTGGTTTCAGCACTGACTTCAGGAGGCAGCAGGTTTGATTTCTGAGCTGACAGCCCTTAGAGCAACTTGAGGTGCACCTCTTGAGTGCTGGAATGACAAAGCAGGATGCATCACCTCAAATTAGTTTCATAAGGATAAGTGCCCGCACTCCCTGTAGAAGGCATACAGGAATGTGCACCACAAGAACTACTTCCAGTACTTCTAACTTTGGTTAGTAACAATTTCCTGGCCTGGAGAAAAAACGACAGCTGAGGTCAGAATGGCCATGTTGGCATGCTCAGGGAGATTGATCTAGAGCTACTCAGAAAAAATTGAATATCATTTCCCACAGCTAAAATTTGCTGCTCTGATTTGTCAGTCTGGCCCCCAGCTAAACCGTTTCATGGGAATTGACTGCTAGTACATCTAACTGATGTCTTCAAAAGGCTCTGAGTGAGTGACCCTGGGTTATTACAGTCTGGCAACTTGTTTCTGAAAGTCCTCCCCCAAGGGAGATCAGAATATATTCAACCTGTCCACATTTCTTATGTATAAAAGCTGAACACAAATTTAGCTGATACGTAGTAGGAGTATCTAGTGGATCTACAGTGTTTTATGTTCTCCCAACTCTAATGCAGGAAAGCCAAGCCTTGATTTGCTACAATATTTTACTTCAGGAGGCATGTCTGTGCCTTGGAGGAGGGGAAAGCATTGTTGGACCTAAGGGCTCTTTCTCAAAAAGAGGTGAGAGAATCTCTGTTTTACTTAGAATTGAAGCTTGTTTCTGTAGAGGATGAACTGAGAGAGAAATCAGTAGTGCTAGGAGCTGATTTGCTGTTTGTGTGTCATTTGGAAAAGGAAACAGGAGAAAGGAAGCCAAATTTAAAACAGCACAATCGATTTTTCGTTACTTAAAGTGCATGCTCTCTTAAAAACTGCAGTGCTTCTCAGAGGTAATGGCTTCTATAACATCACACTCCCTAGACTGTAAAGATGAAAAGCAAGAGGCTTTATCTCCCCCACATTTAAGTAGCTAGCTGAAAGTGAGAACTTTCCCAAACCACACAGTTCAGAGCCTGTGCTTTCCTTAATACAAGGGGATCTCTAGTGATGCTAAAAGACAAGAAGAATGACAGAATAAACAGGGAGATACTTGTGCTGTTATTTAAAGGAACGCTGTGACAGAAAACCCCACTACTGCAGGGGTTAAAAAAAAAAGTCAGATCCGTTACTTGCCTGGCTGGGAGCTATCTTATGAAATGACAGCTGCAAACCACACGTTCTGCTGAGATCAGGAACCACAGCTGAAGATACAGTGCTCTTTTCTCCAGCACATCAGCAGAGCAGCTAACCATTAGTAGCAGAGTGCCAAGCACACCGCAATACTGTCGTTGCTGTAAGGTCCTCCACAGCAATAAGCATTTCAGAGTAAGCTAAATGCAGATTCTATATATTATCTGACTACAGACACCGTTAAATTAGGTGCTGAGCAATGAAATCTAAAGACCGTTATTTGGACATCGCGGATCAGCAGGTTGTTTTTAAGAAGGAAAATTGTTTTAAAAAAAAAAGTTCTTAAGCTTGCAGTCCCTGGGCTGACAAACACAGCAGCTGTATCAGAGAAACTGATCAACAGTGCACCCTGTGGTATCTTTGGATAAAGGAAGGCTCACATGCTGAGCACTAGAAGCAAATGCAAATCGATGCCAACTCACCTGACCTGTGTATATTCTACAAATTGGAAGTCAATAAATTCCCTTTAGCTGTGATTAGCTTCAGCTCTATCGCTGAAATACACGACACTCACAGCACTGCAAGTCATTTTATATTCTCCATAATACTTCATGAGCCTCCAGAGTGGTTTCTGCCCATTTCCAATTGGTAAACAGTGACATTTCCCCTGCTTTACAACTGCCGTTAAAAATAGTCTCGTTCATTTCATAACTTCCAGAACTTCAGCACAAAAGTGTTCTATGCAGCAGAGCAAGCACTGAGAACAAACTGGCTTATGAATAACTGCAAAGCACCACTAGAAAAATCAAAGTAAATCAGTCATAAAAGCACAATCTGCACCTGTGTGCTTTGAACAGATTACAAAGGAACACAAGCTGGACCCAATACATCCTCTTCAAAAACACTTTTCCACAAAGGCAATTACAAACACTATTCTTTTTGCTCGTACTTTATTGAATGTAATGAAAATGAAACAAAACAAACATTTAAAAAAAAAAAAAAAGAAAAGAAAAAAGGATCTGTTCCTCAGAGCTCATCTGAGAGTCATTTATGGTGAACAGGAAGGAGATCCTCCAAGCACAAAGGCCAACAGAGACCAAAGTGCCACAATACCAGAGACTCTAAAGGGGAAGAATGATAAAATACTGTTAATTTTGCTCTTGTTCAAAACTGACTCTTTTCCAGACTGTGTCAGGCCATAAATGCACCACTGACAAGCACTGCTGTCACTGCCTCTCCAGAGAGACATACTTTGAATCTAGAATTCTCTCCTACTACTGAGTTTTCAACTCTTCTGTAGAAAGAAACACAGCCATCCCACACCTGGAGACTCTGCCTCCTCCTCCCAGGCCCGGAGCTGGCACTGCAGCTTATCAAGGTCATCCTCTGTCTGTTACCATGGCACATAGTTTTGTGCTATCCATGGGGAAACGTTCCTTAGTTAATGAAGATCAAGATCACTCCTGCTGCCCGGGAGTGAAAGCTCACAAGCACCAACGCACAGTCAGCACAGGAGCCTGCTTCTGAATCCCCTGTTCTCTGGGACATGGCCAGAGAACAGCACACTGCTCCTGTGACAGGGCAGAGGCACTGAAAGAAATGCCTTTCTTCCCTCGTCCCCATTCATGTGATTTCCGTAACTCACTTTAACAGGCAGTTCACATGAGGAGAGTGCCTCCAGTGGCGATAGACAGAGATCTGCAGCTTAGGGTGATTTTTGTAATCACGCAGAACACGAATGACACTGTAAGGAGAAGAGATGTCATTAACCATGACTCCCAGGCTGCTTATGAAATCTCACACATCAGAGCAGGAATCTCTCTGTCTAAATAGAGTGATACAGGAGAGAGTGGGAGAGAACTTGGATGAGAGGATTAAGGTAACAGAAAGTAAGGGTTTTCTGGTTACTTACTGCTTAAATCTATTGGAGAGCAAAATGAATTGATTCTCTGAAAGCCGTCTAATATCAAAGCGACAAAGAGGCTGCAACTCCTGGTAGATCTGCCTTTCATCCAGCCGTGGCCAACCTCGAACACAGACAACCAAGGGAGGGGGGTATTGGCAGGAAGCATCTTCCCCAGAAAAGTTCTGGAAAATGTGCAATACTGAGACATATCTGCACCCAGCAACACCGCAGAAATACCACTAACAGAAAACATGCAAAATGCAACACAAAAATAAGACAGTCCTCTGTACATTACAGCTGATGGTGTGAAGTTATGTTTCTTCTGCCCAAGGATTTTTTCTAAATGTGAGTCATAAAAGCAAACTCACAATTATCATGTAGAAAAATAAAACAGAGAAACAGCAAGCTCTCTGCCAGGGCACAGCAAGTCAGCGCAGCATGAAGGGACTAATGCCATCTTACAGGATAACAACAGTAACAAACTCCATAAGGCAGAACTTGAACTCAGTGACGTTTTGAAAGGTCATTTGTATCACCCGCACGGAGACAGCTTCTGCCAAGGTGGGCCCAGGCAAGGTGAATTGTTCTCTAATGAATGCATCAGCTGAGCTACGGACCTACATATCCCACCACCTGGTTACAGACCTGCAATTCATACGCACAATGCTTGAGACGCCACCTCGGATGACATTCACCTTGTTCAAATACTCGGCTAACATGGTGAGATACTGAGAGAAAGAAGAATTGGCCTTCGCTGCATCGCTACATCAGAAAACAAAATGGAAGAAAGTTTTGTGAGAAAATGGGTTTTTTGAACCTTAGCATCATCTACAGAAGCCAAAAAGCTGCAAGCACAGGGAAAGGATTTTTGAACAGTGGCTTAACTGAAGTCACCGAATCACAGAGATTTCAGAAGTGGAAACTAATGGAAAATGAATTGACCCTTAACCAAGTGAACTGACCCCGAGAGAGCTGATCCAAGGATAAAGGATTCACTGTGCCATTTCCCAACCTCTGAGCAATTTCATGGCCCCCAATTTCATTTTTCTAAATGTCAGCTTTGACATAAAGCTACTACTTTCAGATTTATAAGATAACAATCTAATTAGAACAGTGACATTTTCAATAACGCTCTTTTACCCAAAAGGAAGGCCTGAATACAAAACATCAGCCAGAACCAACTCATGACTTGTATTCCGTAAAATCCATCTATGTAACAATTCTTAATAAACCCTTAAGCTCCACTCACTCTGTCAAGCTGCACAACAGCAAATGAGCTGACTTCAGAAGAACTAGAAAGAGGAACAACGAGGTGCCATTAGAACAAAAACTGTAGAAACACAACTAATGGAAATTACTTTAAGCACAAAACTCACTGAAGTGCTAAGTTACTAACAGCAACATTATATTAAACAAATGCTTCTTATCACTAAATAAACAACAGAGCCACAGAGCAGGGAAGGCATTGTCACATTCGAACAAAAAGTGTTGAAGAAGCATTTTACCTGAACCACAGAGAAATGCATCATACGCTGCCTCATGAGGAGCCGCCTTCTCAGCTGAAGCGTCCAACAAAATCAAAAAGAAACAAACACCTCTAGCACACTGTGGAAAATGCTTGGCCACAGAACCTTAATGTCTGTAAGATCCATTCTGCTGTTTATTCCTCCACTGCTCAGCTGTTCCCTCCCTCCCCTTAAAGCCTTTACAACCTATGGCACATCTATGATTCTACCAGGCATTTTAAAATGACCCCAACAAAAAGGCAGCACTTATACCAATGTCTGAAGAGTTTAGTGAGATGCACATAAGAACAAAATTAACTTTCATGAAGACCTGAACCAAATTGTGTTTAACGCTACCGATGGCATGGGAACTGTGTACCAGCAGCTCGATGTAAAGTCAGCAGTCCTACTCACACTCACTGATGCTGTGCCTGTGGACATCCACAGAGTAAAACAAAACTCCCAACTTGGAAGGTGTGCTTAAAAACTGTACCGTATCGCACAGAGTCGCTTGCAAGAGCAATCACTGGACACGATGGATCCATGGGATTTAAGTCACTGCTGAAGACAAATGGACATGTAAGATTTTTGTCCTTCCTCGGTATGTTAGAGACAAAGTTACATGCCTGTTCTCTAGTAACCTGTGGCTTCATTTTAGAAAAAGCTGCTGAACATGTTAGAAGCAACTTTTAAACTACTGCATGAGAAGGGTGAGGTACTTTGCTGAACGCAATCTTCCAGTTTTTCTGAAAACTTAACTCCTAAATACTACTTCAGTCTTCTTCCATTCAAACCTGCAAAGGAGCATATTTGTTCTAACTGCACGCAAAAATGTGAATTAAACTGAAAATCAACGGACCAGATTAAACTGAAACCCATGGAATGGCTGAAACAAAAGAACAAAAAACACAGGACCTCTGAGAACCTACAGTCTGAAACAGCTAAAAACAATAACAACACCCACCACAGAATAATGCTGTTTTTATAAGCTCTAATTTTGTATCTGATTTTTGGGAGTGAGGGTGAGGGGAAATTTTGATTTTCCTACCAAGTATTTACAACACATACAAGCAATTTATCCACAGAACAAGTGTAGAAAAGGTTAAGTGTTCTAACACACCACGGCTAAGCTGATGAAATACAGGATCTACTGATGCTCCATTAGGTTATCGTACTTAGTTCCTGCTTTCAGCTAAGAGAAGCTTTTTCCTGAGAGCGGGTATTTCAAATCAGTGTTTTCACTGAGAATTTAAATTCACTCATTTCATCACATGCCACAAGCTGTGCAGCTGTGTATTAGGCTACTTGCAAGCAAACCTCGAGACCAATGAAATAAAGGTGGAAAGCTATTACAAAGCTATGAAGTCCTGTTGGTATTTTGGAATACAGGCATCTCTATAACCACATAACTAGAAGCATAGAATAGTTCAAGTTAGCAGGAGCCCACAAGGAACATCGAGTCCAGCCCCCGGCTCCACATAGAGCCATACAGAATTCAAACCCTCTGTCTGAGAGCTGTGTCCAAACGCACCTTGAACTCCAGCACTTGAGGCTATGCCCCCTGCCCTGGACAGCCTGAACCATGCCCACCGCCCTGATACTCTGCAGTTACACAGTAGAAACTACAGTACATCTCAACATCTCATGGACTGTAGTCCCATTGTGCTAGATGAAAATTGACTTAAAAAAAAATAAAATTTCACAATTACTTTATAACAAATATGAGCAAAGCTTTTGCTCTTAAATTTAGGGAGACAAGAAACAAGCTTGAAAACGTTTGGGAGGAGGAAAATTATGAACAAACAAAATATTTTTCCCATGAAAACAAAATGGACTACAGAAGTTTTATAGCCCACCACTGACCTGCACAAAACCTCATACACCTCCAGAAGATTAGATACTCGAGGAAACTGATAGTTCTGTAAAACAAATCGAGGTTAGAAAACCACGTGAGTTCATTCACTGATCCTGCTGCCTCATTAAATGGGATCTGAAATCAGACCGTTTCAAGGCAACACTTAGAACTGATCACAGCTCTGTGACCATCACACGTTCTTTACTGGATGAAAGAGATGTAAGTCCGCATAGAAAGATCTTTCCATCTCACCTTCCAGATGGATTTTGTTACAGTCTTGGTGTCTATGAGGACAGGAAACAGGTGGTGAATATTCTTTTTAAACTCCTCATAGCTTTCTGAAAGCAAAGCACACAAAGACATTACAAAAATGAGGAGAAGCCAATGGTATTTCAAACAATTAAGAACAGGAAGTGTACTCAGAGGAATGATGCCCTGTTCCAGCAGGGCACAGAAGAGATAGGTGATCAGCACTGTTGCTTGCTCAGCTTTGTGGGTGGCTGGGGTGGTGAAGGGCCACCAGCTCTCACCCTCTCGCCCCTGCTGCAAGGACAGCTGCTGGGGGCACAGATCCTGGGGACAGCAGATATGCACAGCATTACCTGGCAGGGGGTTGTAGAACTTGTCATGGAGATGACAGAGGTCCATCAGCATGTTGTGTCCCACCAGAGGCTATTGGAAGAACAAACATAACAACAGCCTGTTGAAGCACAGTTTTGCAGAAGGACTCAGATGTAACCAACCTCAGGCCTGCTCAACAGCTGTAATCCTTTCCTCCCAAAAGTAATTCAGGTTGCATGAGTTATATCAAGACTAGTATTTTTAGGAAATCAGACTTATGGGCTCTCTGAAGAGGGTATTTTTCTGTAGAACTCTATTTTGAGTGGATTGAAGGAACTATGGGGCAGATTCCCGTTCAGCTGAGCAGTGGTAGTATCTTCCAGTGATCAGATTTACAGTCCTACTCAGAAGGGGAAGGACATCACCTCCTTATCACCCATAAAGCCCTCTGAAGCTGAAATTCGTTCAGTAATCTGGATACAGAACACAAGAATTGTCATCTATAATCACAACAAAGGTGTGCATGATCCAAGAAACAGGTCTGCCACATGCTAGAAATCTTAACTTGTTCAAAACAAAAATTTGCTCAGCTTTCTTAGATGGTGATTCATGCTGTAACAAGGATTCAGCATTGCAGACTCTTGCGTTTACTCAAGTAGACAACTGACAACTGAACAGGATGATCACACTGAACGAGCTGAGTCATTTAACACAAGCTACTTTATCTCTTATCACGCTTTTACATCCAGAACAGCAAGTTAAATAAAAGATTAAAAAATAAATAAATGAGAATAGCGATGGGTCATTTTACCTTTTTAGCTTTAACAATTATCTGGAAAAGGTTGGTAAAGCCCCGGGCAGATGTGAGAATGAGCTCCTTCTGGCAGGAGTCATGAGAAGAGCTTTCCAGAAGGCGACGATGCTGCGGACTCACTTTTTTCACCATTACCTGAAAAAAAACAGTGGGTATCAGCCTTCCACATTACCTGTGTGTACTGAATGCTGAGGATTCAAGATCCACTTCTAGTATGAAAAATGAAGAAAAAAAGATGAGAGAATGTGCATCTCTGAGACCTCAGAACAGCCAGGCTCACTTTCCTTCCCTTTTGAGGTCAGTGCTCCACTAATACGAGACCTCTTCTGATGGTGCCTTATTAATGCTTTTCTTTTTAAGAGGATGGCTCCTATCACAGATAGTTTGGACCACAAATAAACATAATTAACTTTATGCCAATACTATAAGTTTATGGAACCGAAAAACAAACAAACAAAAACATTGCACAGATTGAATCCCCAAAGGCTGTGCTTCAGGTGAGCAGGCTCGGTAAGCCTGTCACTCTGCTGATAATGGCTATCAAGCCAAAACAGAACTAAAGCAAGGAAAAAAAAATAAGAACAAAAAAACCCCCTCCATAATCCATTTCTAAGCAACTGACTGTTACCACTACTGTGCCATGTTCTAAAATGTCTGCAGCCATTGGTTTAATTCAGAAAATACTGCATCAAATGGAAAATACCAACGTAAACAAAGGCATATCCCACTAAAGCAAGACATACAAAAGTGAAAAAAAAAAAGCAACTGTATGGCAAAAGACAGCAAAGAAAAAACACAAAAGGCTGAAAACTGCTATTTGTTGCAAAGGTATTAAAGGAGAGATTTTTCAAAGGCAGTGGGAGAGTTTCTGCAGAACTGCCCCAAGGACGAGTGTTTCTCACTCAAGGTATTTTGTGGTCACAGGGGAAACAGTTCCACTTGGGAACTGTTCCAATAACCAAAGTTATTCAATTTTGTGAGATCCCAAGTAAAGGGATTCAGAATTGACACTCTTTGTGTCTCTTTGTCACTGCTTTCTCCTCTTGGACTCATTATTAAAAGGCAACACTTCAGAATCACTGTGGGAATGTCAGTCCTACCTACCAAGGTGGAAACTCTTTTACAGCTCACCTCGTTGTCTCCGAGAGGCTCTGTCCAAACGTTTGGGAGAGCTTGTCGCAGAACCAGTTGAACATCAAGCATCTGAGAATCTAAGACAGAAATGAAGTAGTAAAAACTTTAGAGGTGCAAATAATTCTGTTTAGCAAAACACTTTTTTCTAGACAGAGGGACTAACCAGATGGTTCTACTCCAGGGTACAAAAAACAGTCCTGAATGATACGATCTTAATACATTCCTGCACATGTGGTGACAGCAAAAAAAAAGTCACATGGAGAATTTCAGTCAAATAAGCTTTTGGGAGGACACAAAGTAAAGGAAAATACCAACTGAAAATGAGTGGAGAGAGAAAGACATTCCTGAGAGCTATGGAGGGGAAAAAAAAAAGAAAAAAAAAAAAAGGCTGCATTTACAGAAGAGCAACATGGGTTGCAAATGATCTTCTATGCCTACTAGCATGAGGTGCCCTGTGGCTTGGTGGGTCTTTCCTGTTGCTGCACAAGGGTGGTAATATACTGTGGATGAAGTCCCATCTTCTTCTAAATCCCCCTGTACTGAAAACAAGCCCACTGCAGACAAATCCAAAGCTTTCCTGTTTCAGAGCAACTATGAATTTTCCAGCTGCTACTCTGAAGCACACAATGGAAACCAGTGAAAGCAAAAGAGCAAGCTCTTCTGGTCCAAGCACCCAGACATCCATCTCTGCCACGGGAAAACCCAACACCACAACAACACAGAAAAGCAGAGCTCAGAGAGAAATTCCTGACAAGAACAGAGACATAGATAGAAGGAGGAAACAACAAGCAGCCCCAGATGTTGACAAGTGACAAAGCCACTCAGAGCCCACAGGAAGGCACCCTGCTTCATACCACTCAGATCCTGCAGAACCATTGAGTCCTCTTCCTTGGCTGCTGCTATCCAACAGGTCACTTCATCAATAGTCTTCTTCACAACATTCATGTTCAGAGCACTGAAGCAGGATCAGGGATGAAGAAGGAATGGGGGAAATTGTTTTGTCTATTTCCATAGAGGGAGACTCACACCCCGCTCTGGGAATGCAGAATTTCCCAATTATCCAGCCAAATCTAGATTGTATTGTATGATTTTTTCCACCAAAGTATCAGGAAGCACTTCTTGATTGTGCAAGTGAAGAAGCACTGGAATAGGCTGCCCAGAGAGACTGTGTAAGGCTTTTCAATCTCTCCCTCCCTCTTCGGAGATCTTTAAAAGCTGCCTGGACATGTCCTGAGCAAGTAGCTCTTGGTGTCCCTGCTTGAGCAGGGGTTGGAGCAGATTACTTCCAGAGATCCCTGCTAGCCTCAGCAATTCTGTGATCTCAGTACTACTCAGGACAAACCACAGTATGTGCAAAAAGTTGGCAGCAAGGCATTCAGATCAACAGGTTTTATAAAACATGATTTGAGAAAAGATAGCTGTCAGCAGTGACATTACAGGAGCCATCTCTCTAAGTAACACTCACCTGCAAACTTTCCAGCTACCCTCTAAGAGACGCTGGCTAAGCATCTTCTCCTGTAACTCATTCATGTACGGGATTCCATCTTTCAGGAACTGAGGAGGAAAAAATGCCAGATTGATTATTTGCCCCTGGACTTTCTTGCATCAGATAAGAGAACAGCATGGCCAGATTCAAACCTGGCATGTATTAAGGTGATAAGGGTGTGTCTCATTTTAAAAACAGCCTCTTGGAAAACACCAACTGATGGTAATTCAAGATACATATTTACATAAAGGAGGACACAAGTTTTTGCTGTGCTTTCACCTTTCCTTTAAGGAAATAAGATAATTCATGTGTCAAGATAAAAAAATCACACCATGTTACCTGCTTAGAATTGCTAAACAGTGCTCTTACGTAACAACATAGCCTCAGTTTTATTGGAAATCTGGCAATAGAAAAGATGCAGGTAAACTGAGAGCTTCCCACCTTTATGGCTAACAAAGACACCCTCTGGAGTCTCTACTGACTTGTATGTTCACTAGAGATGCCTCTTGTTCTTCAGAGATGGGGAAATGTGCTGCAGGCTGACAAAGACGTGCTGACTGACTTTAAGGCACTTCAGAAAATCACTGTTTCTTCTCCCCGTTGATAATAAACCACACTATGTATTCATACATTAGCAAACAGCTTTTTACCCCCAGTGTGTGGACATTAATACTAAGTTCTCCTGTAATTGTACAGATTTCCTCTGTTCTAGATTCCTAGCACACAGACTACCTACCTTATTATAGTCAAAGCCATAGTGAGACAGGAATTGAATGCTAGATGCAGAAAGGGTGAATTCAGCATCCATAACTCCCAAAGTTGATGGAAAGAGAAAGAAATTGTATGAATGCACCACATACCTACAACGAAAAGGAAAACTCCACTAGAAGATAATGACAAGATATTGCATAACCCTTCCCAAGAGATTTCTGCATAGCAGTACAACCACACTGCCTTCATTTTGAAAGGTAATTGCAAGGCCATGTGGAAAAGACGCTTTTTACCTACTTGTTTGAATTTTCTTCTGAGAATATTGCTAGCCCTGCAAGAGAGAGAAACGTTAATTGAAATGATGATGTTGGACTGATATCTACAGATGCTGTGACAATTAATAATGTGATGCAATGACCCTGAGGGAGTGCACCTTTCTCATTCACTAACAACTTTAGACCAGTGAGAAGTATACGGCCCACAAGACTTCAAGTTATTTACAATGTTAGAAAACTGATTCTATTAAACTTCAGAGAATATCATGCAACCAACCAAAGCAAATCAACGGCCCAGTTCACAAAACACAAACACAGCAATCTGCAGGGCTCAGCAGGGGGCTGGAAATCATAGAATGGCCTGGGTTGAAAAGGACTACAATAATCATCTAGTTTCAACCCTCCTGCTATGTGCAACCACCAGACCAGGCTGCCCAGAGCCTGGCCTTGAATGCCTCCAGGGATGGTGCATCCACAACCTCCTTGGGCAACCTGTTGTTCCAATACCATATAAATTGGTGATCACATTCTGGGAAGCTATTCTGAATTCTACTGTGTATGCTTGACAGACCACACAACTAGTCCTCATATTCTATAAAGATCAGTACCTATGGCTTGGCTCAGAGGAAGAAAACACCAATCCCCTGAAGGCTGCTTTCTGCCAGCATGGCACTCACCCAGCTGTGTGATGGTGAAGCGCTGCACACTCTGCCTGACCTTCCGGTACCGCTCAGCTGGGGAGTCAAACAAGCTGATAGATAACAAGGAGGGTGGGGAAGGTGATGTGGGTAAGAAGAGCTGCAATGCTCAGGTTCACTTCCACAACATCTGAGCAGCAGCTTTCCCCTGCATGTGAAGCCCAACAGCCTTACCTGGGCTGGTAATTTTGTAGGAAAACTGAATGTAGGCCAGTAAACTCCATGTCCAGGCCTGTTAAAGAGAAGGAATTCCAAAACAACAAATAAAAACACCGGATAATGGAAGCATGCATTTCACCAGCATCTGGGCAAGGACCTCTCCTCAAACCCACGAAGAGCAAGCTTCAAAGAAAAGGGACCGACTGCCATAAAAGCGTGGCTGTATGAGGGCAGCTGCCGCACGGGGAGCTGGCAGCAGAGCACGGTGCTGCTGCGAGCTAGAACTGATATGGTTCACAATATACGAGAGCAGCATCCTTTGCCCTCCTGTCTGCCATGGCGTCTTTATGGACAACAAGCTGCTGAAGCGCCTCTCGGTGCATTCCCTCATTTACACACAGCTTTACAAGACTGAAGTTTCAGAGGCGCAGCACTCCGACCAGGAGCACGCCCGAAGGCGGCGTGGCCGGCAGCGGCCACACAGCAGAGCCCACGCGAGCGCGCAGCGCTCACCCAGGAAAGCGGCGCGGCCGACGCGGTCCCGCAGGCTGGGCAGGCAGCGCGCGAAGTCCGCCGCCCCCACGTCCATGGCTGCCGTCGGGCAGCAACCTTCGCGCAGGTAAGGCAGGGCAGCGCCGCGCCGCGCCACGCCCGCTATGCCCGCGGGGCTGCCGGGGCGGGGCAGGCGCACGCAGGCCGGATGGCCGCGCAGCTGTGCTCCTTGGGCTGCGCAGAGCCGCAACGGGATGCAAGACTACAAGGCGCGGTTGGGGGAACGTAAATTTTTCGGTTTTCTTTTTCACGAAGTACTACACAAAACTAAATTACTGTTCTAAATTTTTTGCTAAGTCAGACGCGCAGGGACCGAAGTGATAAAGATGAATGTTTCATTCCAGTATAAAGAAAAGTGTTGGAAATTTCATAATCAGGAATTCAACGCTTCTATTTATTTATAAATATTTTATTATTAGATGCCATGTTCCAACTCCTTCCATTTCCAGTCCCTCGTTGTGGCTGGACCCACACCTAAGGAAGTGAGTGATGTTCCTTGGAAGTTGTCCCAGTGGTCTCCATTTTATTGGTAGATTCTCCGCGGCTCCCGCAGAACAACACCACCCTCCGTCATTGCTTTTTCAAATTCCTGGACCTTGTTGGAAAGACAGAGATGTGAATAGAGAGAAAGCAGTCAGCACCCAAACATCACTGTGGACACAGAGTGTGTAGCCTGTCAAGGTTACCCTTTGGACTGTTGCAAATAGAAACAGTCAAACCAGATAAGGAAACTACTGCTGCAAAAACATAAATCAATGTTTAGAAAGGGGGGAAAAAAAAAAAAAAGGCAAATCAAGTTTTAGGTACTTGCCGAATCACAACGACGTTCCCAAGGAATAACAGCTTTAAAGTTCACAAAGTTGATTCCCGCTTCCAAACAGCGCTGTGCCATAACACGGCCAAGGTTTCTGCAGGCTGTAACGCCCTTAGGACTGTACAGGTGCCTCTTTATAGCCCACTCTCGAGTAGAGGCAGATAACACAACATTGCCATTACTGCGTTCCACAAAGGCTTCTACGTAATGCTGTGTCCGCTCCAGCCGTAACCTGGGGAAGGGAAAAATGCAACATGGAGTATGATGCCTTTCCCAGATCTAAAGAGAGAACACACTGATATACGGTCAGTAACTGAAGTTATTTGCTTTATGAGACAACATTGAGTGCACTGGAACTATTAATATAATGATTTCTTCTTAATATTGCTTTTATTAATTTGGCAGACTTTATTTCTTACTTTATTTGGACATAAAATAGGACTCCTTTTACCAGTTAAAGAGACTGAAGTTCCAAGAGTGACTTTTCAGCAATCACGTGCCTGGCCCTATAGTGCCTATATATGCACTCACCCCAAAAACAAGCACTGTGCATCTGTACAATGATGTACTGCTGTCTGTGTGAGGGAACTGCTCTGACTGAAAAGCAACTCTGGGGTTGTCATACAGCCTCTTAAAGTCTTTTTCTCTACAGCTGAGAGCAACTGGTCAGGTTTGGCAAGTGGCCAAAGAGCATTGCTAAGACCTTATCAACTACAGTCTGTTAACAGCACAGTATTTCCTATTGCACTATCAGGAAGAAAAAAAAAATCAGATTTCCAGATTTGAATGAACTGTACATAGTTCTTCTCTCAAGAAGAAAATAATGATATTGATTCCCCAGCTTAAGATGTACTTGTTTTCCACAAGGCAAGCAATCAACGTTTTCTTACAAAATAAAAAAACCAATCAAGTACCTCAAGTAAGACAATATTGCATGGTCAGCACAAGACTATCAAAATCCTAAGTTAAACTGCAGTTGTTTAATCAATATTACTATCTTAAAGACAGAAAGATCTTAAACATACGCTACCTTTCATGCAATGACAATCTATTACTCTCTGAACATAAAAGGTATCTGCCAATTAAGAATAGCTGAAGGATTAACTGATTCAATAACCCAAAAAGTACATCTTATGGAAATTCCATACAGTATATATTTCTTAATTCTTATTTATTTTGGATTTTCACCTCCCCTAGTGGTCTTCTGACTCACCTGTGCCAGAATTCACGCTTTGGCCATGTTGTCTTCCAGCCACGCTCCTTCCTAGCAAGTGCCAACTGCTCAAGGTTCCGAGGGTTCCTGTTAGTGAACTCTGGGGAAACAACCTCATTCTCCCTTGTGTCTATTTCACTCTCAGATTTCAGGCTAGCTGTAGTTGAAGCATAACAGAAACCTTAAAGGAAAGCAGGAAAAAAAAAAAAAAAAAAAAAAAAAAAGAAGGGAAAACAAAATTAAAAAAAAGTTAGGAATTATATATAACACAAGCAGTAGATCAAATACAAAATAGTGGGTTATCAAACCTCAGCCTCTTTCTTCAACTTATGAGATAGAGCATAAGATATAAACTGAAGGTATGTGTAACTTCAACTACGTTTTAAGATGTGTGCATATAACACAAATTGGAGAATAATTACAAGATTTCTATAATCAGGGCTCTAGGAAATACTGACACTGAACTGCACAAGGAACCAAGAACTGCAGTACCAAATTAGTTAAAACCCATCTATCTATCCCACCTACCTGATCACCAATCACGCTATCACACTTGCAAACTCACTCCGCTACGCTCTTTTTTACTTCCGGAACAGCAGCGGAAACCACTCCACCTGGCTAAGGCTCAAGGCCCCGCTTGCCAGCCCCCAGCCCATCCCACAGCAGCCGTTACCGGCGGCAGCACGGGCCCGCGCAGCACGGAGCAGCCGCACCGAGACACCCGATCTGGCAGCACAGGGGGCGCGACGCCTCCTACTGGACAAAGCTGGTTTGGAGAGTGACAGAGCAGTCGATCTTACCCGCTCGACGCACCCGGAGCCGGCCAGCCACCAGCAACATGCAGCCGCGACTGCTCAGCGCCATGGAGAACCGGCGCCAGCCACGACTTCAGGCGACAGTCACCTCCCGGGCGCTCAGAGACCCCTGGGCGCCGCCATCTTGGGTGAGGCCGGCACCTCCCTCCTGAAGCTGGGGGGGCCACTTCCGCCCAGGTGGTTGTGTCACGTGGGAGCAGTGGGCGGGCTGCTGCGCGCGCAGAGGTCGTATTTTACGGATGGGCCGCGTGGAGGCTGCGCGGTAATGGAGGTTGTCCAGGGAGGCGGAGTGGCTTTGTGTACTGGCCTTTCTCTGTGGCCAGAAAAGAAAGTAGGGCCTGAGACAATACAAATCTTGGTTTTACGACTAGGAGGAGAATTAATTCCCTTAAAAAGTGGAGTAACACGTTGTGATATAATAAGCAAAAGTGTAGAAATGCCACACCACAAAACTGGCGTTAGATTTAGGCTCTTTTCCAGCCACCGTCCATGGAATAGCACCACAATGCAGATACAGACATCCCCAGCTCCTACAAGCTCCACCCTGGCTAGTGACCGCCCGCCAACTCCCAACAGGCAGTCAGCACGCATGCTCAAAGCAGCCGCGCGCCGCCCCAGTTTCTAGAACCTCCTAGAAGCGCTGCCGCCTCTCATTCGGTTCAGTGGCTTTGTTCAACGCCAAGGACCAATCACGGTTCGAGACCGGGCTGCACCGCGCCCCCGGATTGGGCGGGCGGCCGTGGACCCGCCCCTTCACCGCCCCGCCTGCCCGCGCCCGTCTCAGGCGGAGTTCCCGGCATTCCATAGCGGGCTGTTGGCCATTCTGTGGCTCGGCTGTGTGTCTGCCTCTCGCGCCACGGCCCGGCGGGAAGATGGCGGCGATGGAGGGGCCCCTGGCTGTGTTCGGCGAGCGGACCAGCGGCGACACCATCCGCACGCAGAACGGTAACGGCCGCGTGCTGCCGGCGGAGCCCGCTAAACGGGGAGGGAGCGCGGAGGGGGTAACATGGCGTAGCCATGTGCTTCCCCGCCCCGGGCCAGCCGCCGCCTCGGCTCGATCATGTGGGCAGGCGGCTGCCGGCCACGGTGGCTGGGGACCGCCCCCAACTCGTAGGGCCTGCAGGGTGCCGGGTGGGGAGGTGGCTGCTGGGGAAAGCGGCCCCGTCCGAATTACGTTTCTCACAAACGGCACGTGGGGAAGGCTGCGCATCCCGGGAGTATCTGCATTTCTGAGAAGGTGAACGAGAAAAGAAGAAGCTGAGGAGTCGCCTTCTGGTGATTGTGAGGGTTGTACACTTCTGATGTACGCTTAAGATTCAGATTGCCTTAATTTGGCTGAGGTGTTCGGTAATGGCAGTTTCTTTCAAAAAGCTGCTCTAAGGGGCAGTAGTTACACCGTTGGAAACTCAGAGTGACGGCCTGCGTTGCAGTTCTTCCCATTATACTACCACTTTTTCAATCTCCAGAGGAAGTGGCTATGCTTGTGGGATAGAGGAAAAACTTGCCACGGTCTGAAGGAAAAGGTTGATTGTATCTTTTTCCTACATGAAGTTGGCAGAACATCACATGGACAAGCTGCTACGTTAGATGCTCCATTATCATTTAAGTGCCTGGAGGCCCTTCACTTTGGATTTTCATGACTTTAAATATTTTGTGTTAGTCATAGACCTAATTGAGGCAAAAAGATATGGTATCAATTGTTACACATCCTGTGTTACGTGGTTGTACCATGGGTCTGTATCCACCTTGGTACATGCTGCTTGTATTTTGTACTGCTTAATACCTACAAACCAGACTGAAATGTCATCCTGAGTTAGTTTATCTAAAGTTTCTGAAGCACAGGTTTCTCGTGCTTTTTGGTTTTTAAAATCTTTCTTTGTTTTTGTTTATGTAGTTACTGCTGCATCCGCTATTGCCAACATCGTGAAAAGTTCCCTGGGGCCAGTTGGGCTGGATAAGATGTTGGTGGATGATATTGGGGTAAGTAAGCTTTATCTAAGTGGAAAATGCTAGGAAGTTTTTTATCGTTGTAGAAGTGCTTCCACCTAGTGTGCTTCCTAGGTCTCATGTTCATGTACCTGATTTTGTGTTGTGTGGAGAGAGAGTGGGAGGAGGAGCATTTCAGTGAAACAGTATGTTCAGGTGGTTCATGCTGTATCATTTGCATCAATAGTTTCTGTATTACAGTTGATCTTTTTCTCTGTGTAAAA